GAGAAGGTCAAAACATACAGACTGGCAATGATTCAGATTTCTTTGTTTCCAGCCACAGGCCCTCCTTTGGTTCCCCATATGCACACACAGAGCATTTCAAATAGGGCTCCTTGGATGAGCTCTTGGGTTCTGTGAAATTCCTGAATTGTATGCAAAATATCAGATGCGTGTGAGAAGTGAATTCTTCTGGAGGAGAGGGCCAGTAGCTTTCATCAGCCACTTAAAGGAGTCTATGACTCTAAACATGTTCAGAACTTCTGCCCTAAAGTAGCAATTATCGAAATTTTTCAATTTGAGGACCTATTTGATTAGGGCATTAAATTCCATGGACTGCCTAAACTACCTTCTCTTCCCTCCCAAATACCCACTAGAATGAAGGAAAGAAAGGCGTTGCTTTGCAAGAGACATTAGAAGTAAGTGGAAAGTCCATGTCAGAAAGCAAAGCATTCACAATGCCATGTTGATATTAATGTCACAAAGACTTCTAGGGAGGTGTCCTTGATTGAATGTCAGATGACCTCAGATCACTCTGAGAATTATCACCGTAGAGGGAGGGGCCAGAATAGGCTAGAATTGATCATGATCACCCTAGCCATTCAATGTTAGCAAGTTATGTAAAGTAGCCCCTTCTTAGAAATAAAGGATTTACATTTAAGTACTGAATTTCGCATTACACAGCAAAGACAAGTACCTTCAGAAAGATGGTTTGGGTTTTCCCACAGTATTTCCCAGATGCATTCTCACCACTGGTGGAGTATAAAACGTGATGTGCAGGAATTCGTGCATAGGCTAGTCTTTTTTCTCCCCGGATCATCCAGATAATAATGTCAGGCATACTGTTCTGTGGCTGGTCACGTGGGTTGGATGGAAAAGGAAGCAAAGCTATGGTTAGTCTAAATGCAGATGGACTGGAGACTCTGCAGTCCAGACCCTTGGGCTCCAGTTAGCAAAGAAATGCTGTGGTTAGGGCTCTGTCCCAAATTCCTGAGACTCACATCTTCTAGGACCATACTTTGAGCCTGCAGGACTGGGAGGCAGGCTGTGGCTGGCTAAAGGGTTCAAAGGGAAGCAGAGGGGGAGCTCCGCCTTGCAAAAGCCCTACCTACTCTGCTCTGAGAGGAATTTTAGGAAAGACTTCCTCTTATCTCGAGCATCATTGGAAGAAAGCCATCAGCAACAAAGGGTTTGCAGGTTGTACATATTTTACAGAACACAGAGTGTCTCTGTCTCATTATCCAATATTTGCCAAATCAGAAATATTAACTTAGTTTTTAAAAACCTCTTTTTTTCTTATTACAAAGGAAATACAAGTTCACTATAGAAAACTTCGAAAGTACCAAAGCATACAAAGTAGAAAATAAAAATTACCTGTAATCCTGTGTGTTTTCAAATGTATTTCTACCCACAAATATATTACTACCTACCCCCAGTTTCTGAAGGACAGGTAGAGGGGGACCCTTACTCCCTTGTTCTTCCAGAAAACTGAGGTTAGTGACAGCCAACATTTATGCAGCACTTACTATGTGCCCAGCAGTGTGCTAAACCCTTTACACTCATCTTCTTTAAATCTTCATGCAATGCTATGAAGTAAATACTAATTTTGTTTACATTTTACAGATGGGGAAACTGAGGCTTACAGAGGTTAAATAATTT